AGCTTGAAGTAGCCTTTTATTAGCCAACAGTGTTTTGACAGCTACTTAAATAAATCCTAGTAACTAGTAATAATATAAGGGAGGAACTTGAACATGCATGTCAGCATTAAAAACTGATCAGGACCACAACAGAAATGACAACATTAAGCTGAATGTCATCAGGATTTAGCGTTTTTGATTACAATTTTTTTCATTAGCCATTTGCCACTGTGGTAAATTACAGGCGAAGCGGACATCCCACATAATGCTTTTATATTCTTGGGTAGGGTGCCGGTTTACTAGGTTTCCAAACCACTGCTCTTAAATGGCTCTGATTTCCTCTGCCTCACTGAACAAATCACCATATAAATCAACATTTCATGAACAAAAAAGCAAGCTGGAGACTTTATGGGTGAAAATAATACAGTCAAATGCACTAATGCAACTTAGACGTTACAAACGTAAAATTTCACTTTCTATCAACTTTCGTTTAAGTTGTCAGCTGACTTCAGCTTTCAACGCTTCTATTTGTACTTTTTCAAATTTGATTTGATTTGTGGAAATCAATATAAGTATCTTAAACCTCAACAGAATTGAAAAAGAAAAGCTATAAAAATGATAAATGCCCTTTAACACATCAGTGTCAATCCTTTTCATTTGCCCTTGACTGCTTCCATCTCTACCAATTTCTTCATGTTCATCTCCTTTTCCTCCATCTGCTCTTCTCCCTCATGTCACTCATTGTTCCTACCCACTCCTCTTTTTTTATTTCCACTTCTCTCAGAGCACCTCCCCCACCACACCCACCCACACACGGCCAATCTTTGTCAATTAAGCAAATGGTTTTTATTTTCCCCTCACATTACAGTTTCTGTGTCTGCATTCATGATGAAGTCAAAGTCATTACAGTAAGCCGGGTCGCTCTGCTGTGTGCGTGATTCTGCAGAGCCTAAGCTAATTAGGCTGCGCCCATGAAGCTGCCTGCTACGCTCACAGATACAGAAAACGCTGCATAGATAAGGCTGAACATACCGACACATTCACACATGGATTATGTTAATGAGTCCAAACTACCAAACAAACATAATCAAGGTGGTGTGGGTGGAAAGAACGATGTTTACTCTCTTTTTTTACATTATTTAGCAAAATTAACATGAAATTTGTTTACTTTTAAATCCCTTAGCTAAAAAACTTTTGTTTTTAACATTTTTATTTTAAATCACACTTTTTGCACATCAATTTTAAAGAACAATATTTACTTTCAGCCACGAAAAACTGGAAGATCACCAACTTCTCCATTTGATGCAAACACATTTGAAGGAGTCTTCTTTCCATTTAGGTTCTCAACTAATCACCGAGAAAAACAAAAGAAAGGCAAGACAATAAATTACTCGTAGAACTTCCTACAGGCAAACAAAACTTACTACTACAGACATACACAAACTGTATTACAACCAACCAAAACAAAAAGAGGGAAAATTATTACAACCAGGAGATGCGAGTCTAAATAAAACCAAATTTATTCACTCCTGGGTCGTTACTGGTGGAGTTTATATCAGGGCTGCCAACATTACAGCATGTGGTTAATCTAAAACGTTTAACATGTTAATATTACATAAGGCAGATTAATCGCGTTACCTCTGTTTTTGGCCTGAAAGCCTTTCTCCTGGTTAGCCAGTTCAATGCAGCGCGTTACTCAGTGTCGCTTAACTTTGCAGAGTCGCAAACACAAGAGAAAAGGCAACAATGCATTTTATTCATAATGTACTGGACATCATGAGATCTCCAATTACTTTTTGAACCTTCATGAATATGAAAACATAGAAAATCCGAGATGTTTGAGGGAATAAAACGTTCTTAAACATTTATTAAAAACATGCATGTTTACAGTTCAAGCTGATAAAGTTAAGCAAAGTGATTAATTACAGTGCTAAAGTGTGATTAATCCAATAAATTTATTTCAATCGATTGACAGCACTACTTATAAATAACCTGTCTGTGGTAAATTGCCTTTATATAATGGTAATGAATATTACAGCATAGTTTTCTCCCTCTTCCTACAGAAATTCCCACAATTAGGCCTTTGATAAAATGAGAAAATGCAATTTTTCTGAAATTAAAACTTTAAAATCTTTAAAGCAGCAGTATTATGTGTTTTTCAGCCACATACTGCTCTTTTATAACATAATCAAGTAACTAAGTTAATTCAAGTTGTAATAAAAATGCTACAGAAATCAAATGACTTAAAATGAATTTTACTTCCTAATTTAACAAATTAAAATTGGACATCTGTCTCTTTAAAACCTCTTTCTGATGCTCTACCTTCAGGAAGTCATTACAGCATCACTCCTCTATCAACTCTAACCAGCGATGTACTGAGAAGAAGTTTATATAGAATAGAATAGAACAGAATATAAAAGACTTTATTGATTGAGGGAAAATTGCTTATTCTTTGACAAGCTACTCCATCTAAGGTGTTGCATATTAATAATACAATATAACCATAAGAGGTGACGTTTCTAAACATAAATATAATGGGCTGAGCAGATGTGCTGCTCCACCAGGTGTTAGCTAATTGCTGCTGGCTAGTCTGTAGGAGCTGAGTGGGGGAGCGTCTTTGAGGAGGAGCTGCGCCACGAAGGCGGGGCTAGGTCCACACAGGCGTTTTGCAGAGCTCAACGGTTGCCATGGAGACTCAAGTATTTCTCAAACATGCATGGAAGAAACAAGGCAAAACTCCAGGCATGTATTTGATGCTGTAGTAATATTATAACATGACATAAAGCTCAAGACAGCCAAACTTACATAACGCCACCCCTTTAATAAGAAATGAGTGCAGTAAAGGAAAGTCCATGTAAAGTCAGGGATGCTACTCCAATGCCTGAAGGCTTGCATGCAGGCATCCCCGTTTGCGGTCGGACGTTAAAATCCAATCCACAGCACATGTGTTCACTCCTGGGAGACGGGGGCTGCCTGGGGAAAGCATTACCATGTGCGTAGGACAGATCTCATCTGTCACAGTATATTACAACATAGTGTGGATGAGCACAAATGCATGCCGCAGTAATCTGTCTGCATGACTTATAGGTGCACATCAACTCCAGTGACAAAGCTAAACACAGGCAGATTTCACAGACGGTGGTCAGAGACTGAGATGCTGCACAATCAACGCTGAATGAACAAACTATTCCCTGAAGAACGTGAGAATTATTATTTTTCTGTTCATTTTATATAAACCTTTGGGTGCATTCAAAGCAGTAATGCTTTTGTAAGTCAGGGTGCATCCATATAATGTATTTGTTTATGTAAGACTATTAGGACTAGAGAGGAGGTGTTGGTAGAAAGAATGGGTTTTCTTTCCAAAAAACAGGAGCAGCCTCAAACACACACACAGTCACAAACATGAGCATCATACAGTAGCGGCCTATTTTGTTAAGCTTGCTGAGGACTCCAAGTAGATAATACCAAAGTCCTCATTTGTCATGTAAAGAGAGAAAACATGAGAGGAGGAAAAGAGGCAGACAACAAACAGGCCTGAGTGTGGAGAGGGAAAAAATAATAAAAAAGATGCATGAAAAAAAGACAAAAAGTAGTCCACAGACAGAGAGACATGCTGAAATGAAATATCAGGGAATAAATTTAACGACTTCTTTTCAAAGCACAGGTCTGTGCTGTAATAGTGCCCCCTGTTGGCAATCTATGAATTACACAATTTGAATTAGTCTTTCCAAACGCAAACAAAAATATCAGAAACGTAAAAATTGTGTCAGTCAAAATTTCTGCAGCAGTTGAGCCACTTTTCACTTAAGCAATTAAACAAAAATATAATCAAAGCAGAGCCTCTCTGTGTCACACATCAGGACGCAACTTTGATGAAAGCACAAATACTTTATGTGTAAAAGTCAAAATTTATCTGAATTAAACTCTGACACGTTCACATGTACCCAGTATCAGCAAAATAGCATCTTTGTACAACTGCGTAAGAATTTCTATGTCAACAATCTACATTAAAACTTGGCCAGTTACATTTACATTAGTAATTAAAAAAAACTTTTCACTACACTGTAGTTTTCATTTTTACTTGAGTAATCACTACTAAATTTCAAAATTTCTGGATCTTTTATCCACTGTGAGTAACTTCAACTAATAAAGAACAGACTTGTTTAAAAAAAATAAAATGTAAAAATTTCATATATTGAAATAAATTGATTTGGAATATTTCTCCTTTGCCTAATTTTGTAATTATGTTATTTAAATGGATAATTTTCATCTTGACCTTTAACATGTCAAAATAAACATTTCTGTTACAACTGATGATGTAATTTTAAATATTAAATGATTAACATTTTGATAAGTTACTCAGTACTTTAGTAGCTTTTTCACCAAATACTTTCTCACTCAAGTAATTTAGTTGGGTCGTTTTTTAGGCAACTACTTATATGCATATTTACAGCACTCTTTGCTCAAGGTGCCCATTACCATTGCATTTACTACTAAAATCACTAATGAGAGATTTATAAATTTAATAACTCAGAGAACAGATTTAATTTAATAAACTTATGTCTGGGGTCTTATGTGAAATTTACCATTTTATCTCCACAATAAACATGAATAAACAAGAAAAAAAATGCTGAGATACATAAAAGACAGTAATTCTACAGAGTATTTTTACTGTCAAAACCCTGGGCTTCAAAATCTCCATGTGAGTTTCACAGATTTAAGGCTCACAGCTAATACAGAGGGAGCAAATTGCAGACAAGCATCCTTTCACGCTGCAGTTTAAAACCTTGTGAAGGTGGTTTGTGTGTTTTGAATGAACAAGACCCGATGTGTTGTGGGAATACGCAACCAGAGGAATACGATTACAGAAGCAGAGCGTGGAACAGACAACTGAGGATTGGAGGCTTAAACTAATGAAGGCAGGTTGTGCATTTCTCCACTTGAGGATGAAACACACACTTCTATGTGTTTTTATCCTGTGCTACGGAAAGCAGAATAGGTTTTATATTCATTTCACCAACCTTTGCAATGAGGCTAAGTGGATCCCTGCAGGAAGGCGGCAGGGCTGATGTCACTTCCTGTGTGAGGTTAGAATCTTCTTCCTGTTGCACATACAGTGCCAACATGGACGCCAGCTGAGAAAGCCCTTGCTTCTTCTGCTCAGACATCGAATTCAAGTCTGCAAGAATGTAAAACTTTTACTAGGGCAGGACAATAAATGAGTAACAATGAGTATCGTGATAGACACGTGATCAATATCGATCGATAATACGTCTGATAGAATATTCAATAATTTCACTGAAGCATTCTGGGGGATGTAGGCAGAGGAAAGACTTTAGCTGCTCAACCTTTCATAGCCAGCTAAGAGATAAGGTTGGTGGAATCAACTCACTCATTCTCTCTCTGGTTACCTAGCAACAACTAGCTCACTCGTTCTTTGGTTACCTAGCAACAACCTGCTGAATGACAGTTTAATGTCTGACCACTGTGCCTCGAAACTGCTTAAACATATATAAAAACAACGACATGGAGTGAAAACTGTGGATAAAACAGAAACCTCATGTCACCAGTTTGACAGTAATTCAGATATTTAAAATAAAAAACTAATCAATAATTATTAATCTCGACTGATATGGAAAACTCATATCGTCCAGCCCCAACTTTTATTTAAACATTTATAAGTTTACATTATCTGTCTAGTACAACCAATTTTATCTCACTAAAATGAACTACATAGAATTAGAAGCTCAATCAAAATCTCTCAAATAATAACTATGACCACATTTTGGCTGACAGATAATTTCACCATATTTCCTTAGTGTAAACTATTTTTAGGTTAAAAAAGATTCCTTCAATTAATCAATTTGTTGTCGGAGAGGTCATAAAGCATTTCCCTGACTCATATGAACTCAATTTTGTACATGAAAAAGTTGAAATGCAAAACGAAATACAAGAAATGGCAAAGGGGGAAATGACCAGAACCCAACAAACTGTCACAATAAACAATGAAAACAAAGATTTACTTTAGGTACTTACGTGATTCATGTTCTTCTAAAGTGTAGAGCTCATTAGTCTTAGGAGGGTTTAACTGAATAGAAAAGGAGCGTATAATTAATTAATGTCATTTTTATTTTACACATATTTGTATACTTTTAGTGTTCTATAATAACACTTTCCTGTGTAGCCAGATTGCAGTTTTATCTTATTTTCAGGAACAGATGGATTTCAAAAACTGAAACTTCAGAACACTACATGGTTAAAATAAATAAAAATAGAATCTTGCTTCCACATATTTTCTGAGTGAGAATAACAAGGATAATTTCTAGAAACTTACCAGAGCAAACATGATTCTGGCAGCCAGACGGACTGAGTCAGTGGGGAGTCTGGGGAGGAGACGGCGAAGACACCTACACTCTCTCTTATGGCCAGACCACGCTTGTTTCTGCAGAAGAGGGTCATTTAACACACTGATGGGTATAATGCACAAAAAGGCATATTTCTATTACATTACACACTTCAGTTTTAACCTTTCACCCACAAAAAAAGGCTTTTCTCAATGCCATGTAAAATGTATTTTCAGAACAACCTTCAATTTCCATTTAAGTTTTGTCTGAATGCCTCTGAAGACATGTTTGCAAATTTCAAAAAGCTTTGAAATAATCCACAGTTGATAGAAACTTATTGATTGTTCATGAATGAATTAGTGCAGTCTTTGATTACAGGTTGACAAAACACTTTTGAATCTCAATTTGAAAATAGTGTTAGGAAAAAAAACTAAGAGTCTTATTTCTGTCTGTGGCTGTATGACAAGACAGCTCTAACTTTGCAATCAATCGTAACGTTTAGTCCTTGAGTCTTTTCTCAAGTCGGAGGAAGGACGGATTAATCTTGTCTGATTGTTCGCTTTGTAATCTTGCTCATCCTTTAAGGCAAAACACGGACTGTGAACGTAAATCTAAGAATATCAGCAGGACCTGGGAGAGAAGTGGCAGAGCAGCCATTTTGGACCAAAGTTAGGCGTTTTTTTTGGTTCTGTTGTGGAAAGCCGACACTTTAAACCGTTTCTCAGGCTTCGAATTTGTCATCCTTTTTCAGTTCCCCCTTTAAACCAAAGTAGGTATAACAACTCAAAAGAACGGAGGGATTATTTGTTTGTAAACAAAGCGGATGCGCGCTGAATCTGACTGCAGAAAGAGCTGGACGGTCTTTAAATGCTCACTGGTTGCCATGGTTACTCACATTTATCTTGGCGTTTTAACATCAGCTAGCATGTTGTCAGCGTGATACAACTGTTCATCACAACGTGAGAAAATAAATTATTCTACCAAACTGACGTCGGCTGATAATCCCTCTATAAGAAATCCTTTAGAAAGACCAACTTTTTATTAACCTTAGATTTTAATCAGTCATTTAATTGGAGTTTTTAACATTCATACCTTCATCATAAAATCTCCACCCTTTTGTAAGTAATTTGTAGATTAATTAGTTCTGTCCATCTTTGGTTGTTTTATGTGTTTTTTTTCTCTTAAATACTCATTAGTAGTTAGTCATGTTTTGTCGTTTCCTGGAATAATCTTTGGTTCATCAGCAAAAGTTTGCATAATTCAAAATAAATCCTGATTATTCTTTATTCTTTTAATTGTGGCAAAGATTAGATTAGATTAGAGATTACACCTAACAAATAAAACACTTTAATAAAGAAATATGGAATTAATGAGATGTTAAATATCTGATTTTAGGTTTTTATTTTCAAAAGGTGCTTTTAATAGGGCAAACAAGCCTCATTGGGACGTATATTTACATTTTTGGACATAACCGTGTGTTCCTAATATCAGGAGTAATTCCAGTGAACAAACACAAAGGCTCTCCTACCTGGCAACCTGCATTGCAGTAGCGAGCCATCTTGCACTGGGAACATCTCAACAAGGTCTCTCGTCTAGACAGGAGAGAAAAAAAATATTTAATGCCTCACAGACACTTTCAGGAAAAAAACGCTTCACTTTTCTGCAAGAGATTAATTTACAAAAAGTCAATTTATTTGCAACCACAATCGCTTAGGCCAGGGCAAGAATAATAATTTTAAGAATAATTTTTCAGAGTTAATGACTCAACTGACCTGCAGTGGAACCGGATTATTATTCCCGTCAGGTTTTTATTACATTTAGTGTTAAATGTGCACTGGTAACATTTAACCAGTGCAGTACTTTCCCAAGTAAAGTTCAATCACTGTCTTGACTTTTTTCAAGTAACATGCTAATCTTGTCCTTCTACATTTGTTGCACTAATCTGACTAATCACTAACTATCAGATAACTCTATCTACAATTAAAATCTCTACAATGGTGCATTCAGGTTCTCTCTCCCCATGGTTAATGTCTGAACGTCTCACACAGTGATGTTGTGTGACAGCTGCGCCTCCACTGGTGGTGTTTATGTGCAATTTTGTGCAAATGTAATGTCTGCTGCTTCTGTCTGGGTGAGACTGCTGTCCTTCCCAGTTTGGCTTCAGTCTGATAACAAGCTGGAGCCGAATCCGTCTGCTCCCTGCAGCCAATTACAGAGAGTGGACTCCACTGCTTAAACACACACACACACACACACACACACACACACACACACACGCACAGAGATATGTGAATCACAGGAACCCCTCTCAGAGTGTATCATTGTGTCTGTGCATAGGTTAATATGAGCCCAGAAAATAATCTACACTGTTAGAGTGGCTGCAGTATCTAATTTTACAGAATGACTGTTTGGTAGACAGGACAGAATGACTGACTGAGAGTTTGAGATCCATAAAATTACTGTTTCAGTCCAGTTTCCCTGCTCATAGTGTTGCTTTTAAACACAAGAGTACACCAACAATTGAGTTACCAACACAGCCGCTGCCTTTCCAGTTAGATTGACGGCAATTTTGAGAAAAAAAAAAAGTTTTACAATAAAAAGTTTTTGTGCTAGCATGAGTTTTTTTTTTTTTACCAACCGTATCAACATTTGAGCATTTTGCAAAACTGCAATAGAAACACTTTTCTCACATCATATGAGTTTATAAAACAGCAGAATCGCTCAGTTCATTTTGTCGTTCGAAGGAGTTGAATCTGTGGTGAAATCGACAATTTCCTCAAAACACAGCACATCCACTCCCATTTTCTTTTAAAAAATACAGAATTATAGATAAAGAAACATTTTTACAAATAAGGAAATAAGTTTAAATAATCATAAATATATTTCTGCATGTATAAATGCAGCAGAATGTAAACAAACATAGATTCAAAAAGAAATCACATCAGAATATGTATCTATGGATGTAGGCAAAATTTAATTGTAAGGTTTATTTACAACTACAATAGTAAAAACAAAAATGTTAATTTTACACATTTTTAGATCAGAAAACAATACAATAGTTAAATACAAAAAGCCAAATGAAGATGTGTTTTATTACGAGAGGAAAGCTTTGTAAACCATAAGCCTTTATGGAAAACGAATCTCTCCCTAATGCTAACAGTTTGTGCCACACTTGGCAGCAGCCATCAAGTGTTTTGTGGTAGCTGGTGATGAGGCTCTTACATCGCAGTGGAGGAGAGTTTCACCAGCTGTTCTATGCACAAGTACTTTAATTCAGCTACATAAGAGGCTTTTTGAGCTGAACAGCCTTTTTAAAGAGGAGGTATTATTTGTCCAGGAATAAAGTGCCATTTTACAGCACAATCGAGTAACTATGTTGAGGTCAAAATGCTGTATAAATCAAACATAACTTAAAAGAAGTTTCACTTTGTAATCTAATGTCTTTTACGATCGTTCTCAGGTGCGTTGGACTGCGAAGTAGTTTGTGTGATGAGCTCAGCAGACGTCGTTTAGGAACCCTGAGGTTGCAACGATTCCTCGTGGAATAAAACACGCATGAAGGAATCAAAGCAACATTCAGGCATGGTTTCAACCAGGTAGAAAACTCAAAAAAGTACATTTTACAGAATACTGCCACATCTCAAATAAGTCCAGACTTTGACTAGGCAATTTCAGGAGCTGAAGCCACAAAGTGTGTTTATCTGATTACAGCCAATATGATGTATTTGTCTGAAATGTTATGTTAACACCAGATATAGCAGGATACACATAGAATAGTTTACCAACAGATTACATTACGATGTTTTCTTTTTAATGCGATTCAATCCTGCAGACACAGTTTCTGTCGTTTTAAAAAGTTCAACTACTCCAAACCTTCCACCACAACAAAAGATCCCAAATTTCATATATCAATGTAAGATGTCACTTTAAAAGAATTTAAAAGATAAATAAAAAAAAAAAGATATCCACACCTGAAAGGCACTTCTGTTGATAAATATCCTACTTGGTTGCTTAAAATTACATTTTTAAGCACCTGAAAAGTCCAGTGAGCTTTCATTTTTATTAGATTTGTGCATGCAGTGTGTGGGAGAAAAAAAAAATAAAAGCCTCACATCTTTATGGTTTATTACATCCGGGTAAAATGGAAGAAAATTATGGAATACCAGTAATTAGACCTGACAATGGATGTTAATATGAGCGTACACACGCAACACGAAGTAATGGAGAACATGTTATGATGGATGTTAATACATTACCCCGCGGCTTATCAGGCAAAGTATGGCACTTTTTATTAGAGTGGGCGCCGCTATAAAAGCTGCAGAGGACATTATTAGATCCTTGAAGCAAAATGAAGGGATTTAATATGAGTGTGTGCACACACACGGTTCAGCTGTAACCAAAGGCTGTTGCCTCCAACAACAGGAGTTAAGTGTGCCTCTATATCAGCGTGGGACCAGACTGGACTGTTGTGTTTGGCCGGAGGTGGCAGCCGCCGTGCGCAAGTTTCCAAAACACTCTACTCTCCTTTTCACTATTCTGCATTTAACCCGTTTCTTCACCATCTGTCTCTTAGTTTTCCTCCACTCCATCGCTGCCGCTGGGCCTGATTTGCAGCAACCTTGTCCAGCTTGGATCCTGATCCTGGCAAATTTATTGTGTCACCCTTCATGAAAACAGAGCTATTCACGTCAGGTTGAGATTGAACAGAAACAGGGAAGCCACCCACAGTTTAAGAAACACATGCCTGTAGTTTGATGCGAAGCCATAACAACGGATCACAGAAAGTCAGACCCAGACACGGATAGATCAATTGTCATGCATCTCATAAGCCCAGAGCTGTAAGCCACAAGAACCGCACACAACAAACAAGAAATCCATTTTCAGCTCCACACATATTTCTAAGACTAAACTTTATCAGTAATGTTGTTCCTCTGAAGGTCATTTTATAGTACCAGAGCTACACTGCATGTTATGAAAAATTCATATTTTGCATGTTTTAATAGTTCCATTCGGGTCTCAACTGCTTCTAAAAACTGCCCAAAAAAAATACACCCAGCACTTTTTGGCAACAAATTAATGTTTTTTGGCATCTTTAAAACGACTTTAAAACCTTCTAAATGTTAAGTCACACTCAACTGGCACTCCCCTGTTACCTAGCAACCACAGGAAGGCCCGGCCCCGTTACCTAGCAACCACAGGAAGGCCCGGCCCCGTTACCTAGCAACCACAGGAAGGCCCAGCCCCGTTACCTAGCAACCTAAGCAGAGTTCCAGCACGTTTGGTCAGCAATATGAGATATGATTAGATTTATTTATGTAGCACAATAAGGCAGTTCAAAGTACTTTACATGAATTAGAAGGAAATACAAACAAAACCAAAAGAAAGACAAAAAGGTAAAAAGTATAAAACTACATATTAGTTCCCCATGTTTAATAAGAATAAGAAGAATTAGCCCATAATTTATGAATTATGGGTTTCTCTGGATTCTTGTTCTGTTAAAACTAGATGTTAGTTCTCCATGTTTGGTTCTATTAGTATATCCATAAAACTAAATGTTGGTTCCTGTTGTTCTAGGTTGAGTTCTAGAGTTGCACAATATAAAGCCAAGTGTTGGTTCTCCATGTTTGGTTCTTGTTCTGGGTTGTTAAGTAGTTGGTACTTTCAAAGTTTGTTCTAAATTTGTAAACTAACAGGAGTTTCTCTACGTCTTGCTCCAATATTAAAACTATAAAGCTAAAGCAATGAGTATGTCACAGTTTTTAAAGTAGCTAAATGTTGATCTAAGGTACTGAGTACTCCATAATTTCTAAAAATAATAAACTAAACAAAAATTGAACATTTTTATGCTTAAATCCAATTCCATAATTCATCAAAAATACTTAAGCAAGATAATTAAGCTGACATGCTTAAATTAAAGTTCATGGATACAAAATGGAAGTAGAAGGAGACAAAATACCAAAGTATGGTTACCAGATACAGATAAATTATCATGATCCCAAAATGTATGTTTCCCAGCAGTCCTAAAGGATTGTATCTTATATAGAATTTTACAATTCCTCTCTCTGAAGAAATTCATGGCACTAAAAGACATTTGGCTCGCCATACACCACATGAGAATGAAACAGCAGGAAAATCTATCCTGAATCTGATTTCAGAACCGTCTGACATATTTTACTGTCACAGCCTCAATAATAAAAACCTTGTTTTTATCCTCTGGCTCAGGAGTCCAGCCAAGAGTCTTTCGCTTGAATGTTTAATCTGGTTCAGGCAGAATCGCACACGTTCTGGACTTTCTATTTCGTGACTCAAACACACAGCGATGGCCCGACTTTGTCTTGCGGGCAGCACACAACTAGAGTCCGGCAGCGTGTGCAGCTTTATGCAGTGCGCCATGTTTATGAACAATGATTTAACCATCCAAATATAGATGTCCACAATAACAAGAGGGACAAATCCAACAAAACAAGCAGAAAAAGCAATATTCAAGATATGAGAAACGGACTTCCCAAGCCTCAGTTTGTTGGTATTCTGCAACACAGCTCTATTTGTTTCTTTAAAAATTGCTTATTTTCACGCTGAGCTGTCAATTCCA